CCGCGCGCGCGCGCGGGCGCGCGGGCGCGCGGGCGCGCGGGCGCGCGGGCACGCACGCGCACGCGCACGCGCACGCGCACACGCACACGCACACGCACACGCACACGCACACGCACACGCACACGCACACGCACACGCACACGCACACGCACACGCACACACGCACACACCGGGCACCGGGCGCCGCCGAGGCGGCACGGGCGGCAGCTTGGCGCAGCCCCTTGAGGCAGCCCAACCGGCGCACGGGGCGCCCGCGAGGCGCCCACGAGGCGCCCACGAGGCGGCGCCGTGGCGCAACCTCGGCGTGCAGCCCCCCGGGCGCGGGGCGCCCACCGAGCCGGCCACGGGGCGGCAGCGGGCGGCAGCCGGGCGGAGCTTCGGCGCAGCGTCCAGGCGCGGGGCGCGCCCGCGGGGCGCCCAGCGGGGCGGCGCGAGCCCGCAGCGCGGCGAGAGCCCGCCATGGCCCACCCGTGTCCTCACGTGCGCCGAGGAAGAGCCTCTGAGTGCGAGTGCTGCTTGGGGAACGGTCAGCAGCACACATCCAGTGAGCGGCTCGAGGAAGGAACACTCACTTCTCAAAGGAGGCTCGGTCGTTCCTTCGGCTTGCAGCCTGCATGCGTTCTTCGTCGTTTCTGATGCGTTAATTCTTGTGTATCGCTCCGTATGCGTTACTATTGGGACAAAAGGGGCTTCGTTCCTCATGTATCGTTCCTTAGGTCAGGCCGATGACTGTGTAGCTTCCTGCAAAGCCTCGGCCACGCGCCGGGGGGGGGGGGGGAAGGGGAGGGGGGCAAGGCTCCTTAGAAGCACCCCTGCTGCTCAGACGGCGCGGGCCTCCTCTGTAGGTGTAAGGCCCGCGCCTGCTAAGGAGCAGCCTCCTCTTTAGAAGCCTTCCCCCCTCCCCCTACCCCCCGCTGCGCGCCGCCCAAAGCCTGCGGATTGGTCCCAGGCCAGGTACTTCTGCGTGCAGGCGGGGGGCTCTCAGCGCGGCACGCCAGGGGGGCAACGTGCCGAGGGCGGCAACAGCCAGAAGGTGGGCGCTCAGCGCTGGGGCCCTGCGCTGAAGCACCCGCGGTCGTGCAGGCAAGGCCCAGCGCAGATGCGGCCGCACCGTGCTTTCGCCGCAGCTCTGGCGCGCGGGTGTCGTGCGCAGGTGGGCATTGAGCGCCGTGCGCGCCCGAGCTCGTTCGCGTGACACGCCCAACGGTTTTGGCGCAGGCTGCTGGGATGGGCCTGGTCGTGACCTCTCCCTGGGTCGGCCCAGGCGCTGTGCATTGATGTCTCCACTCGGCCAGCGGTAATGTCGCGCAGTGTCTCGGGGAGCGTTTTGGCCACCTCGGGCCGTTTCGGGAACGTCTTTGAGCTGTTTGGACGCGTGCTGGAGTCCAGTAAGGGTGATGAAGCCTTCCCATCTTGCGCGAAGTGATCGGGCGTCGCCCAAACATACGAATACGATGAGTGCAAGGCGACGCGCGCGCGCTCAGAAATCTTACAGCATATTCTCGGCGGCGGGTTGCTGGCCATACCATTGGGGTAGCGATAATGCCATCGTTATGTTATCGGTAAGGGCTTCGCCCCCTGCCGCCGGCACCCTCTCTCGGAGAACGGGGCATGCAAGAGCTATGTTGTGAGGCCTGGGCGCCGTCGCGAAGCAGCGTCGGAACCCCGAACGGGGGCCGCTGGAGACATAACCTAAGGAACATAGCAGAGGTTGGCCTCTTGGGCCCCTCTTGGGGGCGCTCTTGGGGTCCTCTTGGGAGCCTCTTGGGCCGTCTTGGGACCATCTTGGGCGTCTTGGAGCACTCTTGGGCCGTCTCGGAGGCCTCTTGTACCGCCTTGGGACCCTGTTAGGAAGGATTGCGGCCTCGAAAGCGCAACTACGGCCTACTTTGCAAGGGTTTATGACTCCAGGCGCGCGAAGAACGTGTAATTTAACGAGGGATCGTGGCCTCCGCAATTTTTGTATAGTTTTCAATCGGGTGCTGTCTCGGAGACGCGAATACCGCGTACTTTACGAAGATTTATGGTCGCGGGAGCGCGAACGCAGCGTAATTCGCAAAGGTTTTTGGCCTCGGGGGCGCGAACGTTGTGAATTTAGGTGGGATTCTGGCTTCGGCGGCGCGAATCTCATGTATTTTGACGTGTTCCAGGGTCCCCCAGAAAAGAACCCCTCAGCATTGGTAATCAGGGCCCTTTTCGGCTACCCCCCCTCGCGCGGACTTCAACAGTTCACACTCGGAAGCAGAACGTAGGACTATAATATGGGAGACTTGAGACTAGAACTGGAGCAGGGAGCAGCAAGCCTAACCCGCGGTACCGTGTGGCCCCAAGGGGGTCAGCGGAATTTTCGATGATCTTGTCAGACGCACGCCCCCACGGAGAACGCGTAGTACTAGTATGCCCTTTTGCGTCCCAATTGAAGCCATCTGGAGTCACTCGGTGCCACTTTGGCGGGTCCAGGATCACTTCTGGAGCAGGTGACCCCCCCTCACTGTTCGCTGGACCCTGACTCCAGACCGTCCGGATTGGGCTCCCTGGGGAGGGGATGCATCATGAGGTCGGGCGGAAGGGCTCGGGACAGGACGAATGGAGTCTGCTGCATGCAGCCCGTCGCGGCCCCGCTGGTTGGCACAGTTTTCGGTGCGTGGTCGCCCCCGGTGCCAGAGGGCGCCGGGGCCTGGGAGAACCAATTCCGTGCAGCTGGTTCCCCCCCCCCCTTTTCTTCGCCCCCCTCAACCGCCCCGATTTGAATTGGGGGAGAAGCAGAAGCAAGTAACCTCACGCCGAGGAGACCTCACGCTGCTGGCGGACCGCACTCGTCCTTTCCTTGCCGTGCTGCCTCGAGCACGCACACAGCGAAACCGCGTGTCGCATCATCATCCTCCTCCTCTTCCTCATCATCATCATCATCATCGTCACCCTCATCATCATCATCATCATCATCATCATCATCATCATCATCATCATCACCCTCATCATCATCACCACCACCATCATCATTATCATCATCATCATCATCATCATCATCATCATACATCATACATCCTACATCATCATCATCGTCATCGTCGTCGGCATCATCATCGTTATCATCATCATCCTCACCGTCACCATCATCATCAGCATCATCATCACTATGATCATCAGTATCACCACCACCATCATCATCATCATCAGCATCATTATCGTCATCATCACTTTCATAATTATCATCGTCATCGTCATCACCACAATAATCACCACCATCATCATCATCGTCACAATCAGCATTTGTGATGCCATTCATGGTAATGCTGATCATCACCGTCATCATCATCGTTATCATCACCATCATCATCATCACCACACTCTCACAATCACCATCATCACCATCATCACCATCATCATCATCATCATCATCATCATCATCATTGTCATCATCATACTCATCATCACCACCACCACCATCATCATCATCATCATCATCAGTATCAACACCATCACCATTATCATGATTCTCGTCGTCAGCATCATCATTCCCAGCATGCTGCTTGTTATTACATCGTTATCGTGCCATAATAACAATCACCACGCGACCGCCAGGCGCCGAGGAACTCGCGGCGGGCATCGGGGCAGAGGGCCGCAACGTCTTCAATGTGTTCGGCCGCGGCGGTGGCAGGTGCCCCCTTCTGTTTTGGTTTGCTGCTGCGGCGTTGGCGCTGGTCTGTTGCTCATTGTCACGAACAGGGAGACTGGCGAGTTCGGTGACGGGACAGAGCAGAAACAGGGGCAAAGTGGAGAAGCGCAGCGCCAAATCATAAACAGAACACCGACGGTGAGGGCCTACGACCCATGGACTCAGAAACGCTGGCGCCCATCACGGCCCGCACCATGTCGAGGGCCTGCACTGGCGAACGAGACTGTAGAATGTGACATGCATTAGGCGAGACCCAGTCACGCGGCCGCGTCGTGGGGAGTGGCAGCAGCTCGCATGGGCATCTTCGGGTACAACTTCCCAGCGAAGATCCGATCCCGCCTGTACCTGCGAGAGGGACTCCAGGCAGCTCGGGGCCGACAGGCTTCGTGGCGAGGCGCCGGCCGACGCGGCCGTCCCTGCTGGCGTGGCAACCCCTGCCGCCGAGGCCGCGCTGCTCGCTGGATCGCGCCCGCTCCTGGCGCCTCGTCAGAAAAGCGACGCGGCGTGGGCGGCCTTGGGCGCCGCTGGCGTGCCTGAGAGGCTGTGGCGGGCCAGGCCAGGGCCGCCCTCTGCGGCTTCGCCGCGGGCCCTCGGGCCGGCGCGACCGCGGGCGGGACCGAGCTTGCGGTCGCGCCCGGCGCTGGATCTTGCAGGACCCTGCAGGGCCAGGGGTGCATGGACCTGGGCTTGGGTTCAAGGATGTCATGCGGGATCCTGCAGGGCCAGGGGTGCGTGGACCCCGGCTTGGGTGCAGGATATCCTGCAGCTGCAGGATCTGGCAGGATCCTGCAAGGCTTGACTGCCCCGGGTCTGCATTCCCAGACATGCGACGTCCTGATTTTTTCCATACAGGGTCCCTGGAAATCCCGCCCCTTTCCCTGAGACCAGTTTATTTTTTTGACGGCCCCGAGGCCGGGCGAGGACCCCCCGATTCCGAAAACGGCCCAACACTTGCCGCCCACATTTCTTTATCATGCCGTGACCATGTCTGAGTGCTGGCGCCGCCGCCAGAGGAGGGCGAGGGAGGAGGAGGAGGAGGGCGAGGGAAGAGGAGGAGGAGGGCGAGGAGGAGGGGGAAAAGGAGGAGGAGGAAGAGGAAAAAGAGAGGAGTGGAGGAGGAGGAGGAGGAGGAGGAGGAGGAGGGAGGAGAGAGGAGGAGGAGAAGCAGGGGCAGAAGGAGGAGGAGGAGGAGGAGTTGACCTGGGTCAGAAGATCCCCGAGCCGAGCCCGCGGTCGCGCTCGAGGCGCTGGCCGAAGCGCGGGCGGCCCCGGGCGAGGCGGGCCTATGGCGGGCCTGGCGCCGGCGCAGCCGGGGCGGCTGGCAGGAAGTCGAGAACCACATGTTGAAAACGGGTTACCCTCAATCCGTGAACCTCCTGCAAATGTGTAAAACGAATGTGCGCGGCACTCAGGCGAGAGCCACATTTTGAAAGTGGGTTGTCCTCAGTCCGTGAATGTGTTGCAAAGTTTTTGAACGAATGTGCGCGTCGCTGAGGCGAGAGCCACATGTTGAAAGCCACCCGCCCTCCATCTGTGAAACTGTTGCCAATTTTGGAACTTCAGAGTCATAAATGGTGAAGAAGTCTGAGGCGAAGAGCCCAGCCCGCCCTAAAAACTGGCCTCGGCGTGTGACAGGGAGAAGTTATTTATAAGGGAAAGGAATGGAGGAGGAGGAGGAGGAGGAGGAGGAGGAATAAGAGGGGGGAAGGGGGAGGAGTGGGAGGAGGAGGAGGAGGAGGAGGAGGCGGAGGAGGACGAGGAGGAGGAGGATGAGGAGGAAAAGGAGGAGTATGAGGAAGAGGAATGCGACGATGATGATGATGATGATGATGATGATGATGATGATGATGATGATGGTGCTGATGATGCTCATGATAATGATGATGACGATGATGGTGCAGATGCTGTTGCTGATGATGCTGATGCTGATGCTGATGCTGCTGATGATGATGTTTATGCTGGTGGTGATGATGATGATTCTGATGATCATGATTATGATGTTGATGATGATGATGATGATGATGATGATGATGATGATGATGATGATGATGATGATTCGGATGATGCTGATGATGCTGATGCCGTTGCTGCTGATGATGAAGATTATGATGTTGATGATAATGATGATGCTGATTATGACGACCGTGATGACGATGATGAGGATGATGATGATGATGTTTATGATGATGATGCTCATGGATGATGATGATGATGATGATGATGATGATGAGGAGGAGGAGGAGGAGGAGGAGGAGGAGGATGATGATGATGATGGTGGTGATGATGATGATTATGATGATGATGCTGATGATGATGCTTTCAATGATGATGTTGCTGGTTCTGATGATGTTGCTGATGATGATGCGGATGAGTATGCTGCTGATAATGCTAGTTATGATGATGCTGATGATGATGACGCTGCTGATGCTGATGATGACGCTGTGAGGAGGAGGAGGACGACGACGAGGATGATGATGATGATGATGATGATGATGATGATGATGATGATGATGATGATGATGATGATGATGATGATGATGATGAGGAGGAGGAGGAGGAGGAGGAGGAGGAGGAGGAGGAGGAGGAGGAGGGCCGTCGCATGTGACATTTACCGTTTCCAGGGGAATGAGGAGGGGCAGCATGAGATTCATTGGCTTACGCCACACCGCCGACCCCTTGGGGCGGCAGCAATCGTCCCCCGCGTCCGGACAGCCTGCGAGGCCCCTCTAGGCACATTCTGGAGCCCTCTTAGGACCGTCCTGCCGTTCCCCCGGGCCGTTGCTCTGGTTTCTGGGGCCTTCGTGGGGCGCCCGGAGGCCGTCGTGGAGCCTTTTGAAGAGTCTCTTGGGGTGCCAAAGGTCGATCTTGGAGGTTTACTGGGGCTTTGTGGGCCTCGTGGAAGCCCAAGAAGCGAATTTGTTGAACATGTACGTTTTCCCTCGGGAATTGAACGGTTTTTGCTTCTGGAGGCCTTCTTGGAGCGCCTCGAGGTCGCGTATGTAAGCGTCTTGGTCGCCCATGGGGCTGTCTGGTGGCAATCTTGGGCGGTTTGGACCGAATCGTCCCCCGCGTGGGCCGTCCGGACAGCCTTTGGGAGCCCTCTTGCCCCGTTTTGGAGCCCTCTTGGGACCGTCCTGCGGCTTTCCTGGGCCGTTGCTATGGTTTCTAGAGCCTTCGTGGATCGCCCGGAAGCGGTCCTTGAGCCTTTTGGGGGGCCTCTTCGGGTCAATCTTGGAGGCTTATTTAATCGCTTCGCTCATTCCGCCGGCCCTGGAGCCCTCTTTAGGGCCTCTTGGGGGCCTCTTGGGGCCCTCTTGGGAGTCTCTTGGGGTTCCTTGGCGGCGTCTTGGGGGCCCCCAGGGCCTCTTGGGGGGTTTGGGGGCCTCTTGGGGCGGGAGGGGGGCTAGTCGATTGCGGCTCCCCCCTCGGAGGCCACGATCCTCGTGAGGGGTGTCGAAAAATGGCCATCCCCTGGAGCGCTCTGGTGGCTCCTCCCGGGACCTTGCAGGGGTACTTTTCGTCCGGGGGTCCCCAGGGGCCGCCCCGCGCGCGCGAACTAGAAATATTGTTGACCAGTTACCAGAGATCTTAGCACGCCTCTGGCCCGTTGTGCCGGCGAATTGGGCCGTTGTGGGCCTCGTGAAAGCCCAAGTAGCGAATGTGGTGAGAATGCACGTTTTACTTAGGGAATGGACGGTTTTTGCTTGTGGAGGCCTTCTTAGAGCGCCTCGTGGTCGCGTTTTAAAACGTCTTGGACACCCATGGAGCCGTCTGGTGGCGATCTTGTGCGGTTTGGACCGAATCTTCCCCCGCGTAGGCCGTCCGGACAGCCTTTGGGGGCCCTCTTGCCCCGTTTTGGAACCCTCTTGGAACCGTCCTGCGGCTTTCCTAAGCCGTTGCTATGGTTTCTGGGGCCTTCGTGGATCGCCCGGACGACGTCTTGGAGTCGTTTTGGGAGCCTCTTGGGCTGGCAAGGGTTGATCTTGGAGGCTTCTTGGGCCGTTTTGCGCCGCGTGGAAGCCGAATGGGCGAATGTGGTGAACATGTACGTTTTCCCTGGGGAATGGGACGGTTTTTGCGTCTGGAGGGCCTCTTTGGGGCGCCTCGCAATATTGTTTCAAACGTCTTGGGGACCTGTGGAGCTGTGTGGAGGCAATCTTCGGCGATTTGGGGCGATCTTTCGTCAATTCGTAGCTCTCTTGGACCGTTCTGGGAACCTTTGGGACCTTTTTGGCTCGTTTTGGGGCCTTCTGGGGCTCTCAGTGTGCGGATGACGGATCGCCCCCCCTCCAAACCGGCCGGACCAGGCCCCCAGGGGAGGGGTTTGGGGAGGGGGAAGCATCTCACACGCTGTGGCCCCAAGGGGTCGGCGGATTTCTTGTGAGGTGGTGGAACACGTGACGCGTTGTTCTTTGTCGTGTCGGGGGTGTCTCGTCGTCTTCGTCGTTTTCCCTCCTTCGTTTTCTTCCCTCCTCCCCTTTGGGGGGAGCCTCTTGGGGTGAGGGGCCTCTCTATGTAGTATATACGATGTTCTCGTCTTCACGGCGTCGAAGACGGTCCAAGAGTCCCCCAAGACCGACCCGCGACGGCCCAGTAGACTCTCAAGAGGCGCCGAAGACGGCCGAACAGGGCGCCAAGACGGCCCAAGAGGCTCCCAAGAAGGCCCACGAGGGCCCCAAGAGGGGCCCAAGAGGGAGAGCCCGAATCGAAAATCGGAGCATCCCGCCCAAAGATGGCCCTAGGAGGCCCCAGGAGACGCCCAAGAGGTCCCAAGAGGCCCCCGAGAGGCCCCCAAGATGCCCCCAAAGGCCCCCAAGAGGCCCAAAAGAGGCCCCAAGAGGACCCAAAACGGCCCGCGAGAAGCCTCCCAAGAGAGCCCAACGAACTTTCACTTTGTCTCATTCTCAATACCCCGGCTCGGTGGCGGGATGGGCCGAAGGTCACTAGATATTCCATCTCCTCATCCCGAATTCGGGCTACACAGCCCCAAGACAGCTCAAGAGGGCCCCAAAGCGGCGCCAGAGGGATCCAAGAAGGCTTCATGTTACAGGCCTCTTGGACCGTCTTGGGGTTATCTCTGGTCGTATTCAAAATATAATGGGCCGTCTTGGAGCATCTCGGAGTGGCCGGAGACGGCCGGAGGCATCCTGGGCATTCCTGGGAGGGGTGAGGGATCTAGTCCGTTTTACCAGATCCCCCCCCTGCAAGCCAGCCGGACCGAACCCCAAGGGGAGGGCGGATAGCTCGGGATCTTAAAGGTGGACGCGGGGGCCGCGTGGTAACTGACCGCTTGCGCACAATACAAGTAATAGCGGTTCCAGGGCGTGAATTTGGTTGCACTTTTGTAGGTCCTGGTCGCCGAGGCATGAACCCAGAGTACTTTGCAATGGGTCGTGGCCTCGGAGGCGCGTATCGCGTGTACTTTACGAGGGATCTGCGCTTCGGGAGCGCGAGCGTCGTAGTCGTATATTTTACGAGGGATCCTTGAATCGGGCACCGCGCAGCCCCCTCCTGTTCGCACAAGCGTTCCAGTTTTGACGTTCCCATGTGAGGCCACACCTGCAACGAACGTTCGAACACTCGCTTCCCGTTCTTGTCAGGTCAGGTTTCTTGTGAGGTGGTGGAACACGTGACGCGTTGTTCTTTGTCGTGTCGGGGGCGTCTCGTCGTCTTCGTCGTTTTCCCTCCTTCGTTTTCTTCCCTCCTCCCCTTTTGGGGGAGCCTCTTGGGGTGAGGGGCCTCTCTGGGCTGTCTAGGTGCCCTCATGAGGCCCTTGAATGTTGTCTTGAGCGTCTCCTTGGCCGCATTGAGGCAGTCTTGGAGGCATGTTTGGCCATCTTGGGGCAGACTCAAGCCCTCTGGGGCCGTCTTGTGGCGCTCATGGGCTGACGAAAACCCGACACAGGCAAATCAATGATTTGAGCTTCTTCGGACCTTCTGGTTCTCTTGGAGCGCTCTTGGGCCGTGTTGGGTCTCTCGGGCTTCCTTGAGGCCGCTTTGGGGCCACATTGGCCGTCTTGGAGGCATGCTGGGCCATCTTAGCGGCCTTGGTGGTCTGCCTGTGCCGTCTTCGGCATTATGGCCGTCTCGGGGAGCGCTATAGTGGGGGGCCCATGCCAAGACACCTTGGTTGCCTCCAGGGCGCCCTGGGTTTTCTTGGGCTTCGATGGTTTTGCTATGGAAAGCGTCACGCTCCCACACAAACAATCAATGAACGTCCTGGGGTCTCAGGGTTGGTTTTCTTGTGGAAGGTTTCTCGTGGGCTGGCCTCTACTGTAGGTAAGCGTCGCGGTGCACAGGGAGCCTCTGGAGGGGAGGGGGATGGGCGCTGTAAGGGGGGGGCTTAAATAAGATGACACAAACCCCATGAGATATAACTTCGCATTCTACCACGTGTCAATGTGCCAGGGGATACGCTGGCGTGTGTGTGCGTGTGTTTGTGTGTGTGTGTGCATGTGCATGTGTGTGTGCAGTACATGTGTGGTTATATGCATAACCTATCGATACATAGGTATGAGTATGGGTATAAGCTGAGTATCTTGTGGAGGCGGGCTTCTGCCAGACTCCTCGTCCTCACCGTTCCCGCCTTTGCCGCCCTCCTGCAAGGGCGAGGTCGACTGGGCCAGAGTCTGGGCCTCAGCTTGAGCCCGTGTGAAGTGACAGGCCAAACTTCTCAGGGGAATGCTCCCACATGCCTCACGGGCCTTGTGCCAAGCTGGTCTCTCAAACAGTTCATCCCTTCGCCACTGCAAGGGTGGCGAGCATTTTGGGCTCCGATGATGGTGCTTGTCTCAAGGGAGGTATCTGGGGGGGCGGTCTAGGCAGGGACAAGGGAGATAACAGATCATTTGCTTCTCTCGCTCCTCTCAGTGGAAGAACACAAGTAAGCACATCGGCGTAATTCTTCGGAGATCTGCGCGGATGCCGTGGGTCTGCGCTAGACGCCACTCCCCAGAACCATCCACAACCCTTTCTCCTTGCGCGCGGTGTGTGCCGGTGGCCCTCTGGCGCCACCCGGGGCGGCGGAGAGGGGGGTGTCTCGTTGACCTGGGAGTTCTTGGCGGACTTCCGACGGTGCATCTCACATAGAAGAAGTGTTGTGCCATTGTTCCTTGAGCAGTTTGCCCGCGAGGGTCCTATACTTATCCCAGCAAGCCGGACGTGGGGATGGCCAGGTCTGGCAGTGGTCGGGCGCCGTGGTCTCCCATGGCCTCCCGTGGCCTCCCATGCTCTCGCCCGTGCTCTCCCTGTGGCCTCCCGAGGCCTCCCATCGCATCGGCACAGATCCTGTCAGATCTGCTGCTCGCACCAGGGCTCGTAGTCGTAGTTGCTGCGTCAGTCAGTGTGGTCGGGGCCTCCTGCCGCCAGGGACGCATCGGCGGCGAGTCCAGAAGGGGAAGTGAGGGGGGGGGGGCAGGCCTTCTCAGAAGGCGGCGGGGCTCCTCGGGCACCCTCGCGCCTCTGAGAAGCCGTCCGTGCATCCGAAGCGAGCTGAGGAAGCTTCTCGGGGGGCTGGAGGCCTCCCGAGCCTTCTGGGAAGCCCCGCTCCCCCAGTCGGGCTCCCTCCGGGCTCGCCGCCCGAGAGCAGTCCTTGCGAGTACATGCTGCCTGGGGCCTGCTGCTGCCATGGTGCGCTCTCGTGCCGCAAGGGAGGGGCGAGCAGCGGGTCGCTCCTTGTGCTGCAGCGCCTTGTGCTGCAGCGGGGGCAGCGCGGTGCTGCGCCGCAGGGGCGGCGGCGGCGGACGAGGCGCGGGCCGAGGCTGCGGCGGAGGCCCGTCCGCGCAGCAGGGCGAGGAGGAGGAGTGAGGGACGAGGGAGGAAACCCGCCCCCAGGAGGAGGAGGAGGAGGAGAAGGAGGAGGAGGAGGAGGAGGAGGAGGAAGCGGGGGAGGAGGAGGGGGAGGAGGAGGAGGAGGAGGAGGAGGAGGAGGAGGAGAAGGAGGAGTGCCTTCCGCCGAGGATCAAACAACGGCATAAACATACACGTTCGGAGCTCCGCGCGGAGTTCTTGGATCTGCGCTGGACCCTCCTGGTTGCGCCTCCGGCGCTGCCCTGGCGCGCTCCGCGCGCCAGGGAGGGGGCTTCAGCGCAGATCCAAGAATCCGTGTGGAACTTCGAACTCTTTGATGCATTTTTGAAAGTTGTTTCTTCTCGAGTCCCTGGAGTGCTCGACCCTATGCCCTTCCCGTCGCTCGCTGGTGGGCCTCTGCTTCGCCTGGGTCGTTTTGCTGCACCTATCGCGCGATTTGCCGTGCTGCGCGAGGCTGGCCGCGCTCTCCGACGCCACGGACCAGGGCTGGCCCGACAGCGTTTCCAAGACAAGAGGAGGAGGAGGAGGAGGAGGAGGAGGAGGAGGAGGAGGAGGAGGAGGAGAGAAAGAGGAGGAGAGGAGGAGAAAGAGAGGAGGAGAGGGAGAGGAAGAAGGAGAAGAGAGAGGAGAAAAGAGGAGAGAGGGAGAAGAGGAGGGGAGGAGGAGGAGAAAGAGTAGAAGGAGAAAGAGAGGAAGAGAAAGAGAGGAGGAGAGGAGGAGGAGGAGGAGGAGGAGAGGAGGAGAGGAGAGAGAAAGAGGAGGAGGAGAAGGAGAGGAGGAGAGGGAGAGGAGAGAGGAAGGAGGAGGAGAGGGAGGGAGGGAGGAGGGAGGGAGGGAGGAGGGGAGGGAGGAGGGGGAGGGAGGGAGGAGTGAAAGGAGGAGGAGGAGGAGGAGGAGGAGGAGGAGGAGGAGGAGGGAGGAGAAGGAGGAGGAGGATGAGGAGGAGGAGGACGAGGAGGAGGAAGAGGAAGAGAAAGAGGAGGATGACGAGATAGAGAAAGAGAAAGAGGAGGAGGAGGAGGAGGAGGAGGAGGAGGAGGAGGAGGAGGAGCAGGAGGAGGAGGATTCCAGCGATTCCAGAATTCGGGGGATTCACGAGTGCAAGCTCGGGCCCACGGATCAAAACAGTCAAGGAGCGGGGAAGGCCATGCCGTACTTGGGAGGCTTGCCTTCGGCCAGCCGCTCAAGATTGCGCCTGCCAGTGGCGGACAGAGGCGTGCCTGTCTCAGGGCACGCGGGTGGACAGGGCTTGGCCAACTTCTGAACAATGTTGGCAGCGAAGTACCCGCAGCAACGACAGTACAAAATTCCTTTGAATTCAGCCAGGACGTGCGTCGGGTGCGCACGCGAGAAACATGGATGTCCGTTCGGGTTGCCCTGGGACGCGGGGCCAGGGGAAGTCGAAGGGTCCAACCTGCCAGACGACGAGGACCCCAACACCAGCGCACCAGGGCACTGACTAGGCCAGAATTTGGCCAGCTCCCCTCGGACGGCAGGAAATCTACAGAGACACCGTGAGCACTTAAAGGATCCAGCTACTTTACACACATCATGGCCCTGCTCCCGCAATCTCGCCTTGCGGAGGTTGCTCGAACAGGGTCCTCGCTCTTTGTGGTGCTCCCTACCTAGACGATCCTCTCGAGCCCTCGGGCACATGAGCGAAACGTGCCTGGAGACAGCGAGGAGTCGTTTAACCACACGTAAACAATTTTCATCTACATTATAAATTTCCCTGACCTTCTCAGCAGGGAGGGCCCCCCACTTGGCAGCTTCCCCCGCAAAGTGATCGGCAACGCCATTGGCGACTAATCCTTGGGGGGTCAGGCGGTGGGCGGAAACCTGCTTGAAGGTGGGGTGGCTCTTGCACCAGTGGACCTCCAGCTGGCCATCTCTGTCGCCAAGCTGGTCCCAGACCTGCTGCCACAGGTCCAGCATGCATGAGTGATCAACTTCAACGTCCTTCCGAGCAAAAGCGCGAGCAATCGGCAGAAAGTCGGTGTACAGCACCGCATCACCGACAACTAATCGCAACAGCTGGATCACAGCATACAATTCTGCACGGGGAGAGTTTTGCTCGGCACCAGGAAGGGTTCCACACAACACGCCAGCCACCTGGAGGGTCCCTGGTTGAAGGTGAACAACAGACCACCCGCATCTCCTCAACCTCCAGTCCTTCGTATGTTCTCCTCCAGAAGCGTCGCTCCCAAATATCCCCCCATGAATCGGAACACCTTCACGAAGCGCCTCATGGAAGGATCCCCAGGCCCAAACCTTAGTTTCCACGGGGGGCGACACTCCAACCGTCCAGCCCAGGGGAACCAGGCCACGAGTCCAGAAACACTCCGATTCAGGAACACCAACGAGGGAATCTTGAAACATATGATTAGTGAGGGGTATGTGGTCATCATCAATATTCGCATTATTTTGACAGCCCCAGTATCTGTGCCAAGGTGTTTCCTGGCGAACTCCACAGCGAGGGCATACACCATTGCTGAGATAGCCGCTGTCCTTGAGGCGCTGCTCTGGCCACTGGCCGCCAGAGGCGAGGTGATTCAAAATAGCAACACCGTCGAGATCGCCTTGCCGAGAAAGCGAATTCCGCAGCCTACGCAACACAGTAAAATCAACACCTTCATGCAGACCCTGTCCCCCGTAAGCCTCAGAGGCTTGGACCCAAAGCATACTGCCCACTTGTTTTTCAACCGTCTTCCACAAAAAATACGGGAAATCACGTCGATCAACATGGAGGGTAACACCAGGGAATCTCCACGTGCAGGGCTCCAGTGGGTTCCCATTGAGCTCCAAGATACACATGATGACAGACGCGATGGGG